AATTATATCTTGCAAAAATTTATGGGTTGTGCATATTAGTGATTGATTTTTTGGGGAAAGGGGGAATTTTGCTGACACATAAAGTTCATACCCTCAGACTGCCCTGGGTGGCCCTTGTCCCGTCACTGGGGGAGAGCAACAAATACCAAACGGTTATATTAAAAATGGATATTAAAAATAGCTGTCACACCAATTGGAAACAATGGTTCAGGGGCGGACTGACAACTCATGGGCCCCCCCGGGCAATAGGGGATCATGGGGCCCTGTGTCCCTGCCCAAACTCAAAAAAGCCTATGAAAAAGGTACAGGGGTCATCATCTCATGGGGCCCCCTACTGACCCGAGTTTCCAAATGGTCAGTCCGCCCCTGCAATGGTTATAACCCCATGAGCAGACATTATCAATAATAAGCAGCAAAGTTTAATATCTGGAAAATCTGAAAGTAGATTCCACAATATTCAGATTTCAAGACCTTTCAGGATATTACACTTTGCTGAAATGAAGTTGCTTTCACTTTAAGAAGGACATATTTGTCTGTAAATTTTAATGGCATGTCTACATGGTGATGTCATTACCTTATATATACCTTGATTATGAACATTTCATTACCTTCGGCTTTAGAAAGAGCATGGTATGCCTGAACATTGTGACTGCTGAAAGCTTTGTGCTTGGATGTTTTATATATAGCTGGTATGTTCCTCATGGAACAGAGCAAATCTTACATTTCCGCTATGAGTCTATTGATACGGCAATGACTTTTTATTACGTGATACATATATGTTTCTATTTTCTTGGAGAAAAAAAAAAAACAAGGCTTTCTTTTGCAAAATTTGTTTTATTTTCAATGCAATCCATAGACAAAAAGATGTAACAAAGAATAAAAAAAACCTAAAAGAATCACTTTGTTCTATTTTATTCAGTTAGAGTTTTTTTTTTTTAAGTGTTACTGTAAATAAAAAGTGTAAATTATATTCTACAACTTGTCCCACTTATAATAACACTAATTAATCTGGTACAAAGCATTGCAAAATGATGTACAATTGAAATAATAATAGTCATTAATATTTGGGATTTACATGGCGCCAACAGTTTGTACAGCACATTACAAAATAAAGGGAGACAATACAAGAGTAGGAGGACTATTCTTTTCAATTTTGTGCATTTTTTTTTTGAAGCAACATGAGAAAAATTAATAAACAAAATTTGTGAAAGTGAAAATGGAAAGAAATGCATTTTTATGGTAAAAGACAATAAAAGTGAAAAAATAAAATTATATATATATATATATATATATATATATATATATATAATAATATATATATGGCTCAAAGTTTAACTGAGCTACTAGCCAGGCCTTAAGAGTTACTTGCCACCAGTTGCCCCACCCAACCCCTACCCTGCCAGACCCCTAATTCCACCTCTAAACACACACTTTGTAAATTATCTTATGAAATAACATGACCTCACTGACAATGGTACAGGCAACAGCAGGATACCGGGTGCAGCAGGGTGCAGGGCACACAGGGTACAAGGCACAGCAGGGCACGCAGCATGGTACAGGGCACACAGCAGGGCACGGGGCACACAGCAGGGTACAGGGTGCACAAAATGGAACACAGCAGGGTACACAGCAGGGCACAGGGCACACAGCAGGGAATACAGCAGGGCACAAGGCACACAGCAGGGTACACAGCAGGACACGGGGCACACAGCAGGGTACAGGGCATACAGCAGGGTACACAGCAGGACACGGGGCACATAGCAGGGTACACAGCAGGGCACATGGCACACAGCAGACACAGGGCACACAGCAGAGAACACATCAGAGTACACATCAGGGTACACAGCAGCAGGGTCACATAGCAGGGTACACAGCAGGGCACAGGGCACACAGAGGGAACACAGCAGGGTGCACATCAGGGTACACAGCAGGACACGGGTCACATAGCAGGGTACACAGCAGGGCACAGGGCACACAGCAGAGAACACAGCAGGGTACACAGCAAGGCACAGGGCACATAGCAGAGAACACAGCAGGGTACACAGCAGGGCACACAGCAGGGTACACAGCAGGACATGGGGCACACAGCAGGGTACACAACAGGGTATACAGCAGGGCACACAGCAGGGTACACAGCAGGGCACAAGGCACACAGGGTACACAGCAGGGCACACAGGGTACACAGCAAGCAGGGCACACAGCAGGGTACACAACAAGGCACACAGGGGTACACAACAGGGCACACAGCAGGGTACACAACAGGACATGGGGTACACAGCAGGGTACACAACAGCAGGCACACAGCAGGGTACACAACAGGGTATACAGCAGGGCACAGGGCACACAGCAGGGTACATAGCAGGGCACACAGCGGGGCACACAGCAGGGCACACAGTATGGTACACAGCAGCTCACACAGCAGGGTACAGTACCCAGTAATGTGGAGGGTGAGTGTAGTAGAATTTCCAGGAGAAGCAGTCACTCTGCTGCCAGCCTCACCATACTCTTGATCCTGCCGGTTTTGATGGCCCACTCATTCAGGCCAGTTGCACCCCACTCTCTGGGTACAGGGGATTCAGCTGGGTGGAGGAGGAGCCACCACCGCCACCACTGCGGGACAGGAAGGAAGTGTGTTTACTGACAGCAGTTGGAATGTGAGTGATGTCAGCAGGTGGCGGAGCCGGAACAGCGTGTTTTCCTTGGCAGGGAAGCGGAGAGGGGTAGGGGCTTTGGCTTGTCTCTCCTGGCTGAGGCTCCACATTCTCCTCTCAGGAGAGAGGAGCTATCCCGGCACCCAGCTGTCCAATTACAGCTCACCACGACCAGTGCTCCACTCGCCAAATGCGAGTAGGCAAGTGGAAATTTTGAGGTGTATGTGTGTGTGTGGTATATATATATATATATATATATATACTGCATGTATAAAAATACATAAATACAGTACAGTAAATACAGTATAACTATGATTTTACATTGTATTTCTGGAAGAACAACTGCTGACAACAATTATAACAGAGAGCATCAGAGGACTTTTCTATATCATAGTATTTCCTAATCTTTTTTTCCATCAAGAAAGCCCTTTAAAAATATGCAAAATATCGAGGCACCCAAGACTAAAATGCAAGTGTTACTTATCATTGGGAAACCTGAGTGGAACAATGCACACAACCACCTTGAAGAAAACATCAGAGGTCCCCCATCACATCAGAATCCAGCCATCCTCGAGTCCTCCCATAACATCAGAGGCCATCCAAATACAGCTCCCCATTCCCCCATTACAGAACCCCCCATTTACACAGTCCTACCATCACATAGCCCCCAATCACACAGTCCCCTCTTTACATCAGAGCCCTAACTTTTAGCTCCAGCATTGTGGCAGAGGGCAGGAAGTGGACCAAGTCTGGAGGGGGATGACTTCCATCCTCTTGTAGAACTACCCCGTAGGGGCCGCTGGTAATAGCCGGTTCTCCCCTAATAGTACAGAGGCTGCCCATTACCACAAGCACCAGTCCATATTTTCTGGCTCCGTAACTCAATCTAAGGGATGTCCTTTTGATATGTATTGCCTGCAAAACTTTAAACAGGAGGGGAGTTAGGGCATGAACGCACAGTAACAAGAGAACACTCTTCCTTCTGGTCTCTCTCTGGAGGTAACTGGGGACATAGAACAGTCTAACGCCTCACAGCTGTAGACCATGAGGCAATTTTTTGGCATCTGGTTACATTCTGCCCCTGCACAACTGTTGGGACCCGATGCAAATTCCAAGCCAACTGTAAAGTAAAGGGGCACTTTCCTCTAGGCTTACTCTCCAGGATTCTGCTGAGGAGGACAGGAGAATGGCTAGTACTCTGAGACCCTGTGAGAACTGTCTTGGTCTACAGCTACCACTGGCATTTACATCTCCAAAAGGACACAGTTACCAGGAATCAATTCAGGGTCTTTACTCACAAGCCCCCAGGACAGCTACCATCTTCCAGCTTCCTCCAGGCTTGGTCCAGTGAGGCAACAATCCTTCTCCAGCCCAGATCATTTTTGATGAAGTCCTACAGCCATCTTCTTGGGAGATCCATCGAGGCTCTCAACCCTTACTCCACCCCTTACACCACCGAGGCCTGAAGAACAGCTACACAATCCATTGGCTGACCCAGGGTAGCAGCCCTTGAGACTAGGGAGAAGGAACAATCTCTCCAGGGCTTCAGACTATTTATCACCTTCCCATCCACCTTCTGGATACTCCTCTCTAGGGATTGGCCAGGTCATTATAAATATTCAGGTTAATCATCTGAATCTCCCTTCCTATGTTCTGGAAGCTACTTCTTCCAGCAGCAGAGGGAAGCAATCAAACTCCCAACCTGTGGAACCCTGAACAGACCAAAACAAAAAATACACTGCTCCCTTGACCCCAGAAGGAGCCAAAAAATAAATTTGCTTAGCATCCTATGATAGGAGGGTCCTACACTCCCCAGAATGCTGATAGCAGACCTGAATACTCTCTGCCCTGGATCAGAATCATGTGTTGCCATGGTGCAGGCAGGTCGGCCGCCAACACCATAGCAACAAATGACGTTGTGTATTGGCCCTAGAATGTCATTAGTTGTTATGGTGCTGGAGGCCAGTGCTCCCCCATCATGCAACTGATGACAGTAATCCAAGGCGGGCTGGGTCCAGTGCTTGAGGCACCCTTGGGGAGCCCAAACGGCGGTGCTTTAACAGAGCTCCAGAAAACAGTAAAAAACTGCCAAGGGTTCTAAACCTCCCCCACTCTATTCAAAGCTTTAAAAAAAGAGTTTTTGGCTGGATATTCACTGCTTATTTTTGGTGAGCTATTATGGACTTTAGAACTATTCTCCCTCCAGCGCCGAAACTGTATGCTGGATATTTTATTAGCAATATAACTGTCTGTGTTTCTCTCACCTTCTCCGTATGTCATCCCTGTACAGAATACTAATGTCCTGAAAATATGGACTCAGTTCAAATTTTTTTTTTTTTTTTATTTCAGGTGGACCCTCAGAGAACAAATTACTTTCAGGAGATCAGATTTTAGCCATCGATAATGAGGATGTGAGCGGGGCTCCGAGGGAGAGATTCATCGAGCTGGTCAGGTAAGAAAAAAAAAAAAAAAAATAGCTCTATTAATGAGTTGGTAGCGGCTTCTCCATTGTAATTTTATTGCAAAGCTCAGCCTATTGGTATTCTATTGAAAAGAATTCAAAAGTGATTACTGACCGATAGTGTGGAGATGTTTCCAGGTCACTTGGAGATCCGTTTGTGCTTTGCTTTTATTTTTTCCGTACAAGTCAGCGGGAGTCTTTACCCTCCAAGGGGAAACCTTGATGCTTATCGGGGTTTCGGAACAGAACAATCCAATTTAACCAATACAAATGTACAACCCCTTTTAAATAACAATTTTGTACTCCTGAGCTACCAGCAGGTAATACACTTAGAGGACTGTTTACGAGGCTGCAGTAAGGCCTTACAACACTTTACTTTACAAATGCGCTTGCTTTGAGACTCTGATATAAGTTAGGCCCTATCCATTTCAAAGGATGGAAAAAAGTGTCCGGAGTAGGAGAGCCTGGTCACATGATCTCCAGAACATTTGGAACATGTACGTGAAGTCAGATGAAGGACAACTTCAAGAAAGGATGTTAGATAGCTCTAGCAAGGTGGCTCTTCTGCAGGAAGGCTTCTCTCAACGGCCACCCAACAGTAGCAACCATAAAACCATAGAAATTCTGAAAGGAGCGCCAGACCGAACCGAAAGAAAGAAAAGACCATTTTAATTATTGGTAAATAAGTCCTATAAAAACAGTCAGCGTGTTTCAGGGCAACATCACTCTCCCTTCATAAGGGTTCAACACAGGAGCCTTGATGATGGGGAAGCGGTGTTGCCTCTTAAACACGTTGGCTGTTTTATGTCCTATTTACCAACAAATGAGTCTTTGACTCTTTCAACTGTCTGATGATACTTTCTGTATTCCTATCCTTTCTTGACCTGTCAAAGTCATGTGACCAACCTCTCATCCAATCACGGCTGATGTCTTCTGCGGCGTTATACAGAGAACACTCAATAGGATCCCATGGCCTTTACTGTATGCATGAGTCCAGGGGCGGACTGACCATTTGGAAACTCGGGCACTGCCCGAGGGCCCGGGTCAGTAGGGGGCCCCATGAGATGCCCCTGGTACCTTTTTCACAGGCTTTTTTGAGTTTGGGCAAGGACACAGGGACACTAGTTTTAGTAAATCCCCCCCCCATAGAGCCATTATAGCGTAGACAGACATAGTCGGAGGAGAGCTACAGACTATGCAATAGAAAAGAAGGGATGTCTATGCTCAAATTTATGATGTATTTTTTTTAATGCAAGCAGTATACAGTAAGTACCTGGATATGACTTGACCAGGGGCGGACTGACCATTGGAGCACTCGGGCACTGCCCGAGGGCCCAGGGTCAGAAGGAGGCCCCATGAAATGCCCCTGGTACCTTTTTTATAGGCTTTTTTTGAGTGTGGTTTGAGTGTGGGCAAGGACACAGGGGCCCCATGATCCCCTATTACCCGGAGGCCCCATGAGTTGTCAGTCCGCCCCTGCATGAGTCATAAAATACAGGCACCATGTTGCAAAACACTGCAATGTCTAGAGCAGCCATTCTCAACTCCTCCAAAGATTGTCAAGATTTCCTTGAGCGATGGCTGATTGATCTCTCATTTGATGGTGCCTGTATAGTTGCAGGGCCAATCCCACTTGGCATAGCCCGCAGCTGTCTGTAAGGTTGGCATTTTGACCCCATTTCTAAAGGGTACAATTGCCATTGATTCCCAATTAATTGGTTTTAGTAAGGTTCACTGAGGCTTGAAAATGATCTTAGAGGTTCCTCTGGGGCAGGGGCGTCAAATTCAGTTTTATCACTGGCTGCATAAACATTATGGTTGCCCTCAAAGGGCTGTATTTGTAAGACTGGATGTCCATAGCACACCTTCCCCCCCCCCCCCTTACATCAGAAGTCAAAAGCTTCCCTAACCATTAGAAGTTAAGAGTTCCCCCACCCTCCCTTACATCACAGTGCGTCCTCCTAATCTTGTGTTTCTGCTGGGAAGAAGCTGGGGGCAGATATGGATAGCAGAAAGTGCAGGGTCCTGAGGAGGACCAGAGAAGGGATGGAGCCTGCTGAGACCAGGGGAGGCGTAGACAAGGGGCTGCTGTGGCTGCACACGGAGGTGTAGGATCTGTAGGAAGAGTTTCGTCTCCTCTCTGCTGCCGACTCCTGAGACATGGTGGGGGCAGAGATGAGTGGGGGAACAGCTGCAGGAAAGGTGCAAGGGCCACGTGAAATGGCCTGGGGGGCTGAATTCTTCTTACGGGCCTTGTGTTTGACCCATGGGCTCTGGAGTAAAAAAAGTTGAGAAAGGCTGGTCTAGCAGATATCTGTTCTTTATTATGAAGGGCCCTTAGTCTTTGCGGCTTGCCCTTGTCCCTGATATAAAAAATTGCATCCAATGTAAAGTGGACCAGTCTTTAAACTGTATTCCACATGTTTGGGTTTATTGGAGTTGACCATTAGGATGCCCAAAACATAGGCCAGATGCCTTCAAAAAAATCAGCATTATGTGTTATTGTATTTTGATCTTTACAATTAATAAACCAGAATGGACTGGTAAGTGTTTTTCCTTTATTGAATGGACACTTTTTTTTCCAAAAACATCGCATTTTTTTGTGGTTTGGGAGAAATGTTATGTTTTCTGATGTAATTTAGTGAGGCTAAATCTTTATAATGAAGGCCCAAAGAGCAGTAAAAAACCCAATAGGTGACTCTAATCCTTCCACACATCGTCTCCATTTTTGGTTTGGCATATGTTGACATGCAAAATTATATTTTAGTTGTATACTCCACTGCAGATTTGATTTGAACCCTTTGATTAAAATCTACCTATAGGCCTTTTTGCTCAATTCCCTTTATCTTAAGAGTTTGTAGTTTGGATATGCTACATAATGTAATATTTTGGAAAACCGTTTTAAACCGAAAAATGGTGCATACATTATTTTCTTTGGTTGCTGTAGGAATGCACAGGAGTCCATCACTTTGACAGTTCTACAACCTCATCAAGTAAGTGATTGGGTTTTGTTATACTGCACATCATTTCCTAAATCATCCTTTTATCATAATGTTGGATGGCTGTTGATAGTTGGAAAGCCTTTGTAAGATCATGACAAATCAAACGTTGGGTTAATTGGCTGGAACATGCTGACTGTATTTAGTGATTTAAGGCCAACTCTGAATAGCAGAAAAAAAAATGAGGCTTGTGGTGAGAACCCCCTACCAGTGGCAATAGCCATAGCAGCCCACACAGACGAATTACTCCCATGATTATACATGATAGCGGCAGGGGTGTATTTACCACAAGGCAAACAAGACATTTGCCTAGGGTGGCATTTGTCAGGGGGGCAGCACAGCTCCTTGGAAGAAGGGACGGAAGAAGGGACACCACAAAGGCATGGGGACCTGGTAGGTTCCGTGAAATGCTGTGGGTTTCATGACGGTGTATGCACAGCCCACTCTCGTTCCTGAGTATGTCCGGAGCTGTGAAGGTGAGTGTCTCTCTCTAGCCATGGGGGATGCTGGCTGGTGTATGGGGGGCAGTGGTAGTGGAAGGCTTGGGTGGAGGGCATGGGTGCCCTTGGTCAATGTCAGGCTCTTTCTGCGGGGGAGCGCCAATTTTTGTGTTGCCTAGGGCAGCACAAAACCTAAAAACACCACTGGACAGCGCCCTGCTGTCAGTAGCTGTTAGAGGCACCAACAGATGGCAGGCACCAATGAGTCCTTCACAACCAGTGATGTCACCGGCTCCAGTTTGTTTACTAGGCCAGGAATCTTCAACCATGTAAACAAAAGGAGCAGTTAAAAAAAAAAGCAACATAGGGGTCCCCCCCCATATGCTGATCTCTTCAAGCAGGGCTGCTGTTAGAAACCACAGGGCCCCTAGATCCAACCTGATAGCCCCCCCCTTAAAAAAACACAATTTTACTATTTTTCAGTTAAGAATGAACACAGTTAGGTACGGACCACTCATTGTGTTCATTCAGGAAAGGAAAGGGCTGATAAATGTGATATTTTTACCGAACCCACCCTCCACTCTCCATCCTGAAGGATCCTATTGCGTGCTTGCAGCTACCGGTGGTAAAGAAAGGAGGAAAGCCCGCAGCACCAGGGGCGGACTGACCATTTGGAAACTCGGGCATTGCCCGAGGGCCCCCCGGAGCGTCAGTAGGGGGGCCCATGAGATGCCCCTGGTACCTTTTTCATAGGCTTTTTTTTTTGAGTTTGGGCAAGGACACAGGGGCCCATGATCCCCTATTGCCGGGGGCCCCACGAGTTGTCAGTCCGCCCCTGCGCAGCACTGTGGGGATGGGGGCACACACACATCAAAACAAAAATAAAAAAAAAAAAAAAAACAAAACAAATGAAAAAAGGTGTTTCAGAACGGAAAAGGGAGGTGGAACAAAAAACAAAAAAAAACCAGAGAAAGGAAAAGATCAGAGAGAAGAGGAAAAAGACGAATATGAAGGAAAAAAAAAGGGGAAAAAAAAAGGATGCAGAGGGAAGGACAAGGTTGCAGGGAATAAGAAAAAGGAACCGAAAAAATTAGGAAAAAAGTACAGAAAAGAAAGAAAAATAGGAAGGGAGAAGGGTAACAGAAGGAAGGGAAAGAACTATACAGGACTGGGAGGAATGAGAAAAGAGAAAGAAATGAAAAAAAACGAGTGAAAGGGAGGAAAAAACACCGCGGCCGGAAAAAAACTATAAAAGTTGAATATAAGGAACAAAAAAGACTTTTATATGAAATAAAAAAAACTGGGGGTATTGAAAAATAATAAAAGTGGAGTGAATTGATATTAAAATAAACAGAAATAAAAGTGGGAAGGAGGGAAAACCAACAGATATTGGGGTGGAAATAAAAATGGGTAGGGGGGAAAGAAAAAAAAAAAGGTAGGGGAGAAAGCTACTACACGGACGGAAAACCAGGATAATAAAAAAAGAGGGAAAAAGTTCCAAAATGTGAAGTGATAAGGGAAGAAAAATAATGAGAGGGGAGGAAAAGGAAAACAGGAAAGAGTGGAGGGAAGGGAAAAAACTGAAAATGAAAGAGGGAAAAAGGGGGAAAATAGGAAACCAGGAAAGAAGGAAGGAAGAGAAAGGGGAAATAGGAAAAAAAAAAAATAGAAAAGGGAAAAAAAAGGGAAAAAAAATGCGAAGAAGGGAAAAAGAAAGGAAAAATGAAAGAAGAAAGGAAGAAAGAAAAGGTAAAAAAAAGAAAAGAAGATGAAAAATTAACGGGAGGGGGGAGGGGAAAAAAAAAAAAAGGACGAAAAAAAAAAAAAAAAAAAGACATGAGGAAAAAAAAAAAATAAAAAAAAAAAAAAAAAAAATGGAAAAAAAAAAAAAAAAGTAAAAAAAAAAATACAATTAAAAAAAAAAAAAAGAAGGTAAAAAAAGAAAAAAAAAAAATCATAAAAAAGGAAAAAATAAAAAAAAAAAGAAAAAAAAATGAAGGGAAAAAAACGAGAAAACAAAAAGAAAAAAGAAAAAAAAATAAAAAAAAGAGAAA